TTCAGGGACCTGCTATGGGTCAACGGGGTCCAAAGCTAGGCTTCCTACAGCCATGCGAAATTGAAAGAGCATATAGCTTCCTTTTCCAAAGCTCTATAAAAACCAAAACCGTTACAGAGTTAACTCTTATAAATGCAATATAGGTATGTTAGATAGACTGCTATGTTTAGGGTAAGATTTTAAGAAACATTAAAACATAGAAAGAACCAGCTTCCGCTTACCCACCCCGGGTTCCTCCTCCTGGACTGGAAGAGATGATACTGCTCTTCCTTGCCTTGTCCGGGGCGTGCATTTAGACAGCAAGAGGAGTTGCCCACTCTCAGCCAGCCATTGGCTTTCCCTAAGAGCTCGGTTCCCTGCCTTGTTGTATATGGGAGAAAATGCCTCTGTGCTCTGCAGGCCTGAGTCTGTCTTTCCTGGTGCAAAAGGGAAGAATTCCTGTATGTTGACCCCAGAAATCCTGCGGGTGAACCTTTCCCAGCTAGAAAGGAGGAATTTTCTTCTGTCTGGCTCCTTCTCTTTGAACACAAAATTTGAGTTTATCACAGCTGTTGAATGAATTTAAGCTTCTCTTTATGGTATTCATAGTCCTTCTCATTGTCTTGGAGTCTCATGTCTAACAGGACATCTGACAATAATGTATGTGAGGCTTTTAGAGACTTTAAAAACATATTCAAACAGAACTTTAGAATATTTTCTTAAAAAGGAAATATCCATCAGAGAAAACTCTTTGCTTTCTTATTTTTCATTAGATAAATTCCATCGTGTCACTGAGCAGACATCAGCAAGGGTTCTCAGACCCTTCCTTTGTTTCCTGAACGTGTCCAGAAGGGTCCCATCAGGTTATCTTTTGGGGCCATGTCTTCCCCCAAGGCTGCGACAGGTAACGGGTGAATGCAGAGGAAACATTTAGAGGATCAAATCGTCTTTGACTCAGCCCGACCTTTTTGCTGGGCTCTGCAAGCAATTTTTAAAAAAATCTCACTAACCCCTGAGGGCGGGGCCAGGGTCTCCCTATACTTTTTGTCACCTCCAATAGCCTATTGAAAAGTGCTCCGTTCACAAGCGCAGTGAGGAGGGAAAGTGGAATGAGGAGTGAGGTAGAGGAAGAACAATGATAGGAAACTAAGGAACAGGAGGGAGAAAGGTGAGAGTGAAGAGAAAGGAATGGAGAAGGGAGAAGACCAGCCCCCATAGCCCCATTCTGGGGGTAGAGTCGGCCTGCCCCTCCCGGGCCTGCTGGGGAATGCCCACTGTTGCAGGACATTGCTGCTGCGCCACCTACAGGCCTGGAGGTC